AGAGGATAGGAAAGGCAGCAGAATACAACAGACATGAGTATATCAATATGTAAAGCAATGAAGTGTAACTGATGTGATTCTGCAAGCTGTATATGGGGTAAAATGGGAGTTCATAACCCGCTTGAATCAAAATGTGAAATATGATATATCAAGAACTATGTAATGTTTTGAACAACCAACAATAAAAAAAAAGAAAAAGAAAAGAAAAATGAGGCAGACTTTATAAAAAAAATAAATAAATAAAAATATTTTTTAGTTGTTAAAAAAAAAAAATTCTTTCTAGGGGATTAACTTGTAAAACCTGAAACTAAATTGAAACATCCAAGTCCTTAATCGGGAAGCCAAAAATGACTACTCGAGAGCACCCCCTAGCGGTCCCTTTTTACAACCATTCCCCCTGCAGAAGTAGCAGGAAGTGGTGCCTTCCATCACCACCTCCAGGCACGGAAGAACTAGGCTTCCCTATTCCTAACCTTAAAAATCTTTCAACTGGTGAAATTGAGAGCCCAGTATCAATGTCAAACAGGGAAGTCCAAACCAAAAGAGAGAAAAAAATTGACTAAAAACCAAAGTGTACTTTGATTCTATTCTAATATACCAGAGAAATTGTTAACCTGTGATCACTGCTGTAGTTTGCCGGTCAAGCCCTGAAGCCCTGAAAAAAAAAAAAGCTGTCGAACAACAATGAAGCGGCTCAGTGCTACAATAGAAACTTTCAGCTTCAGTATGAGATGGGGTGAACATTCTATTAATGAAAATATTTCTTTTCAAGACTGAACCATGTTAATCCTTCCAATTTATACATCAACTCTGCAGAAGTTCCCCGAATTTAGGGTCCATCTGACTCAATCATCTGGACCCATCTAAGAGAAGAGAATAGAGTGAAGTGGGCATGACAGAGCACAAACCCAGTACAAGAATGAGGGGTTGGGCTGGGGATGTGGCTCAAGTGGTAGTGAGCTCACCTGGCATGCGTGCGGCCTGGTTCGAGCCTCAGCACCACATACAAACAAAGATGTTGTGTCCGCCGAAAACTAAAAAATAAATATTAAAAAAAAAAAAAAACCTCTCTCTCTCTCTCTCTCTAGTACCTGTTTCCCAAGTCCAAAAAAGGCAAAATTTTAAAAATAAGAGCTTGTGATGGAATTCTGAGACTATTCTCTCTCAACCAGAAAGCCCTTAAAATGAAAACTTGACTTTTTTATTACCTATATTGTATATATTCTAAACTGATTTTAGCCACCAAAATGTTCATCTCACTTCCTATTTCAGAACTACTTTCTCTTCTCTCTATATTCTAAACCTCTACCCAAACATTGCCATTCATCCAGCCTACATTGTGAACACCCTATGATGTTACATCTTTTCTAACTTTTTCAAGAATTCATATGAATTACTTGTGCTGTATTACTCTTCAATTCATTAGAATATGGCTATATTTTCCAAAATAAAATCCAACAATTTTTATGAGATTTTTAAAAATAAGTCCTTTTACAGAAGTGAAAGCAGTTGTTATTTTAATAACCATCTCCACTTACAATTAAGTGATTAAGGTAATGGGAGAAACAAGGATGTTGATTTTCACAATGACTGAAACATGAAGATGAAGGTAGAGGAAGTAAAATATTCTCAGGAAGCTAAAATGAGAGTTAACAACAGAATGAGATCTCATAGAGGTACCCAAGTATATAGATACATAAAACTGACTAATCATTTGGTTATAAATAAAAAGTATAAGTACATGTGAGGGCCTGGCATATAGCTTTGGGGTAGAGGGCTTGCCCAGTATATATGAGGTGCTGGGTTCAACCCCCAGCACACACACACACAAAAATTAAGTACACATAAATCTCAAAAATTCCAACTAGCCAATGAACTAAGAAAAAAGAACAGCTTTTTTACATAATAGAATAAAGCAGAATAGAATTTGAGCTCCTTTAATATTTTTTAAGTCTGTAACATTTAAGAACTTGAATTTTATAAATGCAAAACAGGTGTGTAAAGGTAATACAAATAAGACAAAAAAGAAGTTTTATTTTTAACACACTGTAACTATTTATTCATTCACTGTAACTATTTTTTTTTCTTGTTCTAAATTTTTTACTAAGAAAATAACCCCTGACAGCATTCCCTCATAACAAATATATTATGGCTCTAAGGCGAACCTGGATAGTGTTTATTAATCTAGGTCCAAAACTGAGCTCCTCCCATGTAAATTTGAGTGGTAAATGTGAAATAAAAGAAATAACTGACAAGTTAGAAGGCAACAGAACTAAGAGAAGTGGGAGCCACCTTCCTGACATCAGTGGATGTAGGAAACCAGGGAGAGGTTTAGGGCTACAAGTAAAGATTCATTTGAAAGAGATGAAAACCGGGGAATAAAGAATTTCAGCAAGAATGAGGTCAAGGAAGACCTCAGGAACAAGACATGAACTAAGTAGGAAAATCTAGAAAGTGACCACTCAGAATGTTTTCACCGGGGCTGGGGATGTGGCTCAAGCGGTAGCGCGCTCGCCTGGCATGCGTGCGGCCTGGGTTCGATCCTCAGCACCACATACAAACAAAAGATGTTGTGTCCGCTGAAAAACTTAAAAAAATAAATAATATTTAAAAAAAAAAAGAATGTTTCCACCAAAATGTGAGTCTGTGCCCAAGGGACAGTACAAGGAGACCAAGGAAATGTTATCACTCATGCATTAAGAGTATCTACCAACTAAATTAAAGATAATTGCCTGGTGCATTGGCACACACTAATAGTCTCAGCACTTGGGAGGTGGAGGCAGGAAGATAGTTTGAGCCCAGGAGTTCAAGGCCAGTCTGGGCAATATAATGATACTCCCCACCTCAAAACAAAAGATAATAATAACTAAGTTATTAATCTAAGGGCTTAGATAATAAATAGAAATATGAGTGGAAATTAAATAGAAAATAACAGTTTATTTTTTTAAAAGAATTAAACTGAGTCAAGCAGCACTGGGTAATAGATCTTAATTTATCTAATAAACTACCCACAGATGATTTCCTTCCCTGAGAGTAACTCACTTTATGCATTATATCATTTTTGCATCCTAACGTAGTATCTAATACTGACTTAAATTATAGCCAGATTTAGAAGAAAGGGTGAAAGCTGAGTCACCTGCCCTCTTCCCCCTTCTCCCTCCCTTGCTTCACCCCCTCATCCTGTTCCTTGCTGGTAGTGGATTAAGGGATGGAAATTAAAGTTATCCCTGAACAAAACCTGTAAAACTTTCCAACTGGCCCACCCCAAACTTATTTTAACACTTACCAACATCTCCATAAACATACAGGCCCTTTGGAGGTTTGCTCCTTGTAAAAAGCTGCAAATTAAAAACAAATTATAAATCTCCATCATGAATATAACTTAGTATAGTAATACATATAGTATTCCTAATTGTGTCATATACAGGACATAGAAAGGCTAATATACACAACAAATAGGGGAAAAAATGATGCAAAAGTCTGGGAGGCCATATATTATACAGCCTTAAAAAGGAAGGAAATTCTGGGCTGGGGTTGTATGTAGCTCAGTGGTTGAGTGCTTGCCTCCCATGCATTGAGGCACTGGGTTCAATCCTCAGCACTACATAAAAAAATATATTTTTTTTTTAAAAAAGGAAGGAAATTCTTTTTTTCTTTTTTGGTAACAGGCATTGAACCCAGAAGCACCTACCATTGAGCCATATCCCCTGCCTCTCTTTTTTTGTATTTTATTGTGAGACAGAGTCTCACTAAATTGCTTAGTGTCTGAGTTGCAGAGGCTGGCTTTGAACTTTCTATCCTCCTGTCTCAACCTTCAATCTTCTGGGAATACAGACCTGCAATACTGTACTGGCCTGGAAGGAAATTCTGTTACAGGATACATTGTGGATAAACCTTGAGGACATTGCATTAGATGAAATAAGTCAGTCACAAACAAATATTGTATGATTCTACTTATATGAAGTACTTGGAACAGCCAAAAATTAGAGACAGAAAGTAGAAAAAAGGGGCTGTACAGTGAGGCATAATTCCAGGAGGTTGCTGTAACTCAGGAGGTTGAGGCAGGAGGACTGCAAGTTGAAGGATAGCTTGGGCAATTTAGTGAGACCCTGTCTCAAAATAAAAAATAGGCAGAGCATGGTGGCACAGGCCATTGGTTAAGAGCCCCTGGGTTCAATTCCTGGTACCTTAAAAAAAAAAAAAAAAGCCAGGCACAGTGGCACAGGCCTGTAATCCTAGTGGCTCGGGAGGCTGAGACAGCCTTGGCAATCTAGTGAGGCCCTAAGCAGCTCATTGAGACCCTGTCTCTAAATAAAATATTAAAAAGGGCTGGGGATGTGGCTCGGTAGTTGAATGTCCCTGGGCTCAATCCCCAGTACCAAAGGAAAAAAAAAAGTGGGAAAAGTGGTGGACAGGAACTGCAAGGAGAGGAAAATAGGGAATCTTGTTGAATAGATATGGAATTTCATTTGTGGAAGGTAAAAAGATGGATAGTGGTGATAGGTGTAGAACATTATGAATGTATTTAATGCCACTGAACTGTATACGTAAAAATAGTTAAGATACTAAGCCTTACGTGTATTTTACCACAATTTAAAAATTTGGGGGAGGGGAAGATTGTGAAGCCCCACTGAGGATTCAGTGCAGAAGGCAACAGGAAAAGCAGCCCAAGTAAGGGCTCCCAAGACACATGACTTGAACTTACATCCCCTCTACCACTTACCCACCGTGTAATCATCCCCTTGTCTCCCAGATTAGCTTCCCAAACAATAGCAGTCAGGCACATTCTCAGCAAGTAAGGGAACAGGAGAAATTTTTTTCTGGAGAAAGTGAATAATCTCCAGAAAAAGATCCAAAGGCACTTAGGTGTGGACCTGGATCCCCACCAGATCACCTAACAGTAAAGAATAGTCAAACTTTCTCCTAATCAGCTTGCTAGTATCTGAAAAAACTAAAATGAATTGACAAATTTTTTAAATTAAAAAAAAAAATCAACAGCCACAAATCAACATTTTTTTTTTTTTTTTTTTTTTTACTTTAAGGACTGAAGATGTAACTCAGTGGTAGAGCACTTGCCTAGCATGTATGAGGCCTCACTTCCATCCTCAATTCAAAAAAATAAAAATAAAAGAAGATAGCATTGAAAAAAACTTTCAAGATAAAAAGAAAGAGACCAAAGCAAATGTACTGAGGGAAAATTTCAGAAGAAAACAGAAGCAAGCTGAGAGCAAAAGGAAACTTCAAAAAATATAGGTATAACATAAAAATGGCCAGCAGGCATATGAAAATGTGCCCAACATGTTTAATAATTGGGGAAATGCAAATTAAAGCCATGATGAAGTATCTCATACCTCTTAGGATGACTTGAATCGAAAAGACAAAAGGTAAATGTTGGTTAGAGTGTGGAGAAAAGGGAACTCTTGCACACTGTGGGTGGGAATGTACATTGATAACAGTATGAAGGTTAAATTAAAATTCAAACTATTATAACACCTACAACCATTCTGGAAACATGCCAAAGAAAATGAAGTCACCCCCTCATAAAGATATCTGCATCCCTATTCTACTGCAGCATTATTTACAAGATCCAAAAAACAGAAACAACCCACGAGTCCATCCACAGATAAATGGATAAACAGATTTTTTGTGACATACACATACAATGGAATATTATTCAGCCTTTTTTTTTTTAGTTGTAGTTAGACACAATACCTTTATTTTATTTAATTTTATGTGGTTCTAGGGATCAAACCCAGCACCTTGCACTTGCTAGGTGAGTGCTCTACCGCTAAGCCACAGCCCCGGCCCCTTACCTTTTAAAAAAGGATCCTAGCCCAGCATGGTAGCCCACACCTGTAATCCCAATGACTCAGGAGGCTTTAACAAGAGGATCACAAAATTCAAGGCCAGCCTCAGAAATTTAGCAAGACCCTCAGCAACTTTGCAAGATCCTGTCTCAAAATAAAAGTAAAAAAGGGCTGGGGAATGTAGTTCTAATTAGCACCAGAGCAGTCAATAATCTGGCCAAAAAAAAAAAATCTCAAAAGCTAGATGTCAGAAACCACTCCATAATGTTTTTGGTTTTGTTTTATAATGTATGGTTTCAGGCCAATTTGCTTCAGAAACCTCTCCCTAAATCCATAAGGCTCCTTCTAGACTTCATCCTTGTTTAGGCCAGGCGAAAAGATCTTGGTGTTGGTTCTGCCACCTGGATGGTTTCCCTGTGTTTCTCTGCATGTTAACTCTCCCATCTATTCTTACATCTCAACTGAAAACAGATTTCCACTCCTGCCAAAACCTCTTAATTTTTCTTTCTTTCTTTTTTATATGAGCATTATTGTGCACTGGTTATTCTATTTTCAACTTGCCAGAAAAAGCGTTTATGCTTTTAAACAATTTTAGAACAACTTCAAATTGGACAACTTGCATAAAACCTAATAATCTCTGAGCATATTCTTTGTACTGGAAATCTTTTGAAAGCAACATTCTGTATTAGGTAACTGGTAACGTCATGGCAATTCATAATTCTTTGAAATACATTTTGCAGGAACCGTTGAAGGAATGATTTTACTCTAGTACTGTTCACATGATATAATTAATATATTTTGAATAAAGGAAGTTTAGGCAAAAAAAAAAAGTGGAGGGGGAGTAAAGATGGCAAAGTGAAAAAATCAGTGCTGGTTAAAAAAAAAAAAAAAAAAGAGTAGAACCCATGATCCTATCTTCTCTTTTTCCCACTCAATAAATCAATATATTTTAGAAAGGGTACTTTGCAGGCTGGGGTTTTGGCTCAGCAGTAGAGTGCTCACCTAGCACGCCTGAGGCCCTGGGTTCGATCCTCAGCACCACATAAAAATAAATAAATAAAATAAAGGTATTGTGTCCAACTAAAAAATAAATATTAAAAAAAAGAAAGGATACTTTGATAATATTCGATCTTACATGCAGAATTTATGTTATATTTATTTTATAGGAATATTTAGAAAATGACAGACTCTGCCATCTAGCACCAAGGAAGATCCTCAGATCACAGTAACTTAATATGACATGAATATTGTTTAAGATGCATATTTTGCCTGTAATTCTAACTACTTAGGTACCCAAGACAAGAAAATCGCAAATTTAAGCCAGCCTTGGCAACTTAAAAAGACTCTATGTCAAAATTAAAAAAACAAAAAACCTTTAAAAGGGCTGGAGCTGTAGAACAGAATGTTTACAAGGACATGTAGAAATGTTTAAAAGGGCTAGCTCAATGGTAGAGCACTTGCCTAGTGAGGCCCTGGGTTCAAACCCCAGTAGCATGTACACATGCATACACATAAGCACACAATGCAGATTCTAACCTAAATAAATTGATGAACAAAATGGATAGCCTTCTGAATACTTACTTTTTAAAAAAAGTGGATACTTTTCTACCAATAAATGTTAAACACAGTCTATCTAAATGACATTATGTGTAGTAGTAACCCAGGCTTACTCTCAGTGAACATGTTAACTAATAAATTAGAAAACAATACTAACTAATAAATATAGAAAAATTATAACAATGTGCCCTAAAGAAAGCTATTTAAAACTTATAAATTGTTTATTTCTATAATTTCCCTTTCAATATTTTCAGACTTTGGTTGACCCCAGATAAATGAAACCATGGATAAGTGGAGACTATTGTACTCTTAAGACTTTTCATTTGGGGAGGCAAGCTAATTTTCTCCTAATAAAATTTCAGTCTTCCAACAATTATTGAAAGTATTTTAAGGGATTTTAAAACCTGTATGTTAAGGGAAAACTCAGAGGATCAAATAGAGAACAGCAATACTATTTAGAAGGCTGTAAAATGAATGCTAAAGAAGCTCTTAAATTCTTTTTTTCACTTGTTCTAATCAGTTATACATGACAGTAGAATGCATTTTGACATATCATACATAAAAGGAGTATAATTTCTCATTCTTCTGGTTGTACATGAGTTTAAATTCTTTATTAGTGGTAGTGATTTCAAGGAGAGGCAGGTTTACACAGGAACCCACATCGTTTGCATGCTCCTACTTTACATTTTCTCACAACCTACCCTCAGTTTTTAGTTTCATTAAATCTCCTTTTTTTTATTGTTTTTATAATCTTTTAATTCTTATAATTTAATCCTGTGTCTCAGAAATCAAGTAACTATACCACTGACTACGAACTCCACCTTTGCATTGCTCCTCAGCTCTGATTATTCTCCAGCTGCTCCTCTCCCCCAGATGTCTTCTCTGTTCTATACCCCAGGAGGCTGACACTGATGGCTGGTTCCTGGCTGGTTCAGACATACCTGAAGGAGATGGGAGATAGAAAAAGAGGGAGC